ATTGTGTTGTGTGTTAGACTTCTTAAGCTTGTCACAAATGGTGTAATGAGGCCAAGATTTGGAGCTGACCTAGGTTAAAATCCCAATGCTGCTATGCTATTTATAAGCTGAATGACTGTCAGTAGGTTACTTAACCTCTTTCAGCTTCAGTTTCCTTGTTTGTAAAATGGAAATAACTTACGTACTTTGTGGTATTTTCTGGGAGATTAACACATTATATTTGTAAAGCACCCAATACATAGTAGGCCTGTGATAAATGCTGACTATAATTATTGTTTTACACAGAAATGCAAATGAGATTTGAACCCAATTTTGGAAACCTGCTTACTCATAAATTGGGATTACCTATAACAAATACCCCACTAAAATTCTTATCACTTTTAAACAATACTTATCATCCCTAAACTGTTTACTATGGGACAGACAACTATTTTATATCTTTTTAATACAAAGGATACTTTTTTAAAATTATATTTTTTTGACTTTTTTACAGAGAGGAAAGGAGAGGGATAGAGAGTTAGAAACTTCAATGAGAGAGAAACATCGATTCAGCTGCCTCTTGCACACTCCCTTCTGGGGATGTGCCAGCAACCAACGTACGCGTCCTTGACCGAAATCAAACCTGGGACCCTTCAATCTTTAGGCTGATGCTCTATCCACTGAGCCAAACTGGTTAGGGCACAAAGGAAGTTTTATATATCTCATGAAATGCAAAATAGATACTAAATAGATAAATGTTCATATTTTATGTAACAGCAGGGTATATTCACAGAGAAATTGAATGTTTATTTTTCTATTTGAGTATATTGAAAAAGAAGAAAAGAAGAGCTTCTATTTGCACACTAATTCCAATTCTCTAACATACTTTGTTGGTTCAAGAGAAAAATAAGGACATTTAGTCTTACTTTGAAATGGAGTGTAAACAAGAACACAAAAGCAGGCGATTTCAGGTCGCTGGTTCTCAAGGGGATGGTTTTCCTTCCAAGCCAACCACAGCAGCCCTTTGGCTCAGCTATCCACACTGTGGCCTCACCTCTTATCTTTCTCAGGCCTTAGGGTAGCCAAGCACTTAGGTGGTAACCTTGGGCCTCTCTCCAGGTGAAGCCACAAATCTATCTTACAAGATTTTTTTTGTGAAGATTAAAGGAAAAATCCATTTAATTGGATCAAATTAATCCCACCCCAGCCAATACAGACTCTCAATTAATATTAGCTATTATTTACTGTAACACACTTTGAGACCAGCTACATTATACAAGATGGTACTCTGATTCCATCCCCTTGTGGGAAGCAATAGTACCTAATTGTCTTACTGCAGCCAATCCATCAATCTCAGCTGCCATCATTGCTCACCTGGACCAGTGCCAAGGCCTGCTGACTGGTTTCTGCATATGCACACTTGGCCTTCTCACCCTCCCTCTCCACAGAGAAGCCAGTTATCATGTTAAAAACAAATCCATATAATTTGGGGAGGGAGACATTGGAATAAATTTGTTTTAAGTCGCTTCTATTTTCTTGGAAGAGAGGTTACTATGTTGATTAGCTTTAAGCTTTTCAGGTTGTTAAGTAACTATGGTAAAATTTCAAGGATGACTCCTAAAAGAATAAAAATGAAGTAAATAATGAAATGAGAAAACAAAGAAACAAAAAGCAATTAAAATCAATTTTTAAAAAGTAAAAATGTAACCAAAAGAAAGCCAGCATTTCTATATTAATATCATACAAAAGAGTTTATGTGAAAAATCATTTTTAGGGATAAGAGATGTCATTCTGTAATGACAAAATGCTCATTGCATAATAATGAATGATATAACAGTTCTTAAGTAATGTCTCTAATAATAAATTGATCTCAAAATATATATTTTTAAATGCATGAAATTATAGGACAAACTGATAAATGCACAGTTATAGTGAGAGATTTCAACACCTCTCTCCTAATGACTGACGGGTAAAATGATGAAAAATCAGTAAACAAATAAGACTTGAAGGACACCATTAATATCCTTTATTTAATAAACACATAAGAAGTCTAAACCTCAACATTAGTCTAAACTTCTCCCATGCAAGACCTATTCATCATCATAAGCTGCTCATGAAGTTAACAATTAACAACAACAAAAAAAGGACAACATCAAATGGGCCCCGAGCAGAGCAGATGAACACTTAAAGGCTGAGAGGAGACGTTCTGGGTCTGTAATCAGTGTCCCAAGATGAGCAAGAAGCACCTGGAGACCTTTTCCGTCCTCATCATCTGAAAGTCATCTTATCTGATTTATTGGCTTTCTTAATACTTTTTGAAGGCGCTCTGGCATTGTGAGTCATGCAGAACCTATTGATTGATACATTTCCTTTTTTTTTTTTTTTTTTTTTTTATCCAAGCATTGCCAGAAATAGTGATGGACAGCTCTTAGAAACAATATTTATATAGCCCACTCTTTTTACTCTCCTGTTGACATGTTTCTTGATACTGTTGGTTGAAAAGGCAGATTTTAAGCTAATTCTGGATTAGCTTAATTGTGGTTTGTTGAATGACTGGCATGAAGAATATATGACATTTTAAACCTTTGTTTTTATCTTCTTTCCAGTGCAGGCCACACTGAGAATGTTTTAAAACATAAATATGTTTGTTCTTGGTACTTAAAACCCATTTCCATGTTAAAAACCTCCATATTACACATCTAAAGTTGAACTTCCTAAAGATGTATTCTACTTCTGAAATATAAACATTGTGTGTGTGTGTGTGCGCGCGTGTATGTTTAAAGAACCTGAATCACATTGTTAATGATAATTTCTATCCATATTCTCACCAAATTTCCTCCTCTGTGGAAAACACCACCCTTGAGAAGAAACTAAAATTTCAAATGATGGGAAAAGTGTCCCATACAGTTATGGGTTTAAAGATTTCTTTTTCTTCCTAGCTATATCCATGATAGACTATAACATCTCTATGTTTTAGGAAGCATATGAGAAGAGGAGGGGGAAAATCATGGAGAAAGAGTGTAACCCTTTTGTGTGTCTTCATTGTATACATTTGGACAATGGAAACCAGGGCCAAGATGAGAAACAGAGAAGGCGAAATGAATTAACTCTGCCAAGAAACAGAAAGCCTATATATATATATATACTCTAAGGAAGGAACTTGGAAAAGTAGCAGACAAAGGGACTCCAGTTCTCCTCAATTACTGAAGAATATTAGTATTTGAAAGTGGCCAGACAAATGTGGGTCAGAGTAAATAAAGGAATAAATGGTGAGTCAGAGACAGAACGAGGACAGCGGGCCGTGAAGGAGACCCTGACTGGCATTGGGCTGTAAATGACCAGGCCCACAAGACCAGGGCTTGGAGGTAAACAACAATCCACACTGGGCGTCATTGCTGACTTTTTAATCAGGTTACTACTCATCCACATTTTATCCATTTGTCATCTTAGTAAAGAATAGAACAAGCATAATTCTTTTAGATGTTAAAGAAACTGGGAAGTTTGGCTGGACATTTGAGTCCTCAGACACAGAGAGAAAGCCATGCCCCATGGACAAATGCCCTCTAACCCTCCAATCTGTCTCATAAATTGACACAGTCAATTGTGCACCTGCAGTATTTAGACATAATTGTCAGGGAAGGAAACAGACTGAGAAGATATGTTAAAATTTTCTGAATAACCATTCAAGTTTTCCACACTATGTTGTATGTCTACAGGTCAGGCAGAGTTTCTTCAAATTTAAGGACAGAATACATTTCTGACATCCAAAAAATCTCACCATCAAATTTCAATGTTTTGGTTCTCAGAAAAATGTTTACTCTGTGTTTCTTTTACTAAGAAACGAAGATTGTAGTATTGCTTTATATCACTGGAGATGAATACAAATTACTTGATTAAAATTAATTCCATAAATAAAATGTCTAGGGGGAAAAGAGGCCATACAATCCTAGTGGAAATTTTGGCATGAAAGCATGCTAACCTAAAATGGAATATGTCCACATTTCATTTTTGAATGTACAATTAGTTGTCACTTTAAAACGAAGGCATCAGAAACAAGATGTCTTACTATCTTCAAAATGCTACTGTGTTCTGGCTACAGTGGACACCTCTGAGTTTTCTTACCTTCTGACAATAGGTATCTGCATGGAAGCAAGGCACTCAGAGTTAACAAGAGATAAGTGAGGGCCAGGCCCCTTGGCCAGCTTGCCCTCTCTTGCACAGTTACATGTTACAAAATACCCCGCAGATATAGAGCATGAGAGAGGGACAAGGAGAAGCACCATGTGGTATAAGCTAATCATTATTTATATTCCTAGTCAAAGGCTGGCATTTCACATGCATGGCTCACTACTCTGGCCCGCCCAGGCCCTAAAGCTATTTTTCTTTCTTCAAATAGGGATTTGCTGATCAAATCAAATGCTGATTCTGTATCCAAAATGATATGTTTCCTCTTCGTGCAAGTGATTAGGTCCCCTAAGAAACTAATTGCTGCCATTTCAAATTGCACAAGTAGCCAAATCACTCTCCTTAAGGAAGAATTCCAGTTATATTTCTCATTATTTTCACCTTTGTAAAGCCACGTTTTTCTGTAGCTCTGTTGGTCGATGCATAAAAATGGCAAAGAGTAATGAATGACTAAAGCCAACATGGATACCGTTTAAATACATATTTCCTTTTGCAAATGTGTCATCTCCCATCAACCTTATATGCATGTTGTTACTTAGATACCTTAAACATATATTTCCTTTTGCACGTGTGTTAAAAGAGATTAAACAAAGAATTTATATGCATACTAGAGGCCCACCACATGAAAATTCGCCAGACCGAGACCTCCAGACCCAATGTCAAGTCCCCACCCACCTCACCTGCCTCGCTGCACACACCTCGCAGTGCACACAGCCTCGCTGGAAGACAGTTGTGGACCGGAGATAAGAATAGTTTCCTGCCCTAACCTTTCCTTCTCAGGAGCACTTAAATTGAGCTTCATTTGGAAGATGAGAATTGAACAGAACAGCACTTACTTGTTTCCATGAAGAAATCATATGATGTTCAGCAGGTGCCTTTTGGCATTTGGTTGTGATGGCATGATGGTGTCACAGCCATGGAGTTTTTATAATAGAGACATGCATAGTCCATGGACAAACAATAGTGTGGGGGATGGCCTGGGGACGGGGCAGAAGTTGGGGAAGGGGGGGTCAATGGGTTAAGAAAAAAAAGGGAGGGGCGACTTGTAATACTTTCAACAATAAAGTTTAAGGAAAAAAAGACAATACTTCAATGCGGTCTTTAGTTTTAGGTATTACCTATTCATAGGTTTACATTCAACTGGCAATAGGTCAATTTTCTGCTTGTGTTACTAATCAGATCTATGTAGTTGAGCCTCTTTGTATCATGTTAGGGTGGATCCTTACAAATAGGTATTATATCGATAGAATAAGCACCAATTTGCATTATATGATTTCAGGGTCTCTTCTCCATTTTCCTTATATTCTTGCTAATGTTGGAGACTACAGCTAGAGATTTAGTTTCAGGAACTCTTATAGAAGTGCAGAGTTTCCCTGAAAAGGTGACTCTTGCTACCTACTTGATATAGCAGTAAGTCAATTTTGCCTTAATGTGAATGAATGTGTCAGAGCCTTTCTTTAAAATTTTTTTTTTAATTTTTTACAGAAAGGAAGGGAGAGAGATAGAGTTAGAAACATCGATGAGTCATCGATCAGCTGCCTCCTGCACACCCCCTACTGGGATGTGCCTGCAAACAAGGTACATGCCCTTAACCAGAATCAAACCCAGGACCTTTCAGTCCGCAGGCCAATGCTCTATAAACTGAGCAAAACCAGTTTTAGCCAGAGCCTTTCTTGAGAGCTGTTGTGAGGAGGGTGGGATGGAACAGGGGGGTCTGGGGAGAGAGATAGAGATAGGGAATAGAGTGATAGGGAGAAGGAATGAGAGAAGTCAGAGGGTCCAGACAGTTCTTTTCAAGAGGTCTACAGGCCATTTTCCTCCTGAAATGCCTTTAGAGGGAAGTCTTCAGTGAACAAAAGGTGCAGCCTGAAACTTCTTTGGGAGTGTTAGTGGAGAATAATCAAAAGCTGCCAACTGCTGCAACCCCACATGTCTGGTTTCAGAAAAAAAAAAAAAAAAAGAAAAAAAAAATCTCCAGTGATTTCCACTCCCTTTTTGTGTTGCCAGAAAACAACTGGGCCAAATAGTAGGGACAGTTCTTTGGCAAGAGACTGAAGTTGCCAGAGGAGTGAGGGCTGAAAACAAACAAAATTAAAATAAATTTACCACCTGGGTTTTCTAACATCTTATCTGGAAGGGAAAGGAAATTTTAAACTTGCACTTCAACACCTAACGCCAACTGGAATCAAACTCTGTGTGTGTGTGTGTGTGTGTGTGTGTGTGTGTGTGTGTGTGTTCACTGTGACAGAGCTTCATTTGCTTAAGGGTACCACAATGCCAATGATCTACTTAGAGGTTTTACTCTTACACAAAATGAATTGAGATTTAAGAGAAAACATATTGCTTTACATTACTATTCTGATGCTATCGTGCTTCTTTTCAGAATTATTTCTGTTCAAAATAATATTGTAAAATACAGCACTGGTAACTGTGCAAGTGCCAAAATAACTTTCAGGGAGGAATAAATAAGAACACAAAAACATTGCTGAATATTTTCAAATTTATTAGTAAAATTGGCCCTGGACATAGTCTCTATCCTATTGTATGTTGAAAATTTTACTAGAACACATTTTAATGCCTAAAATCTTAATATATCTCAGATAATATATTTCTGTTCAAATGATGGTACATGAAGTACTAATCCAACATATGAACCTCAAATACAAATTCACTGCATTATGCTGCCACCAATGTTTTCTTTAAAATTTAAGGATCTTCCACTAGGAGTTTCAATTGAAGAAATATTTGAATTTAGATTAATAATGTGTAGTAAATTAAGAAAAGGATATTAAGATATGATAAAGAGAGAAATATAGATTACGTTATTCCTGCCTTAGATTAAAACCAACCCACCATCCAACCGTAAGTGTATGGCTCATGACAAAGTATTCATTAGTTGTTGAAAGTTTAAGTCTATATAATAGCAATGTTTGCCTCCAAAACTTTGCCATGAAATGTAATGTGACATAATGTGTAGGTAATTGAATCCAGTTCTCTAATTGAAGAACCAGAAGCTGCCCACCTCTGGGTGAATGCTTTCTTTGTTCCTTCCCAGTTACTAGCTTGTAGGGTGGGACCACTAACCTTCCTACCTCATCATACAACTATGGGATTTTCTTTTCTTATATTTTATCTATAAATTTATGCCATGTGTTTGCAGCTAATGAGGTGATCAGATATTGAAGTTACTGTACCATCTTCAGGATAAATCTGATCATCTTGGTGTGTTATTTTTTTAAGTAAAACTAACAACTAGTTTACAAAAGTTCTCCAAGTATATATCATCTAGGAAATTGAGGTAGAGAATATAATGGATTCTGTCTCTGAGATGCTATTTAAACTTACTTACTTAACAAAGTGGGTTTCTTTCCTTAAACTAACCAAGTGAACATTCTTTTCCATAATAAAGAATTGAAAAGGGTGAGAAAAAGTAGTCTGATAATACACACCTTCTTGTCCTATCTCTTAGCTGCCTGGGAAGCATCTTGGTTCAGCCCTAGGCAACAAGAGGCAATATGGAAGGTGGCAGTTGAAATGATTTAGGCCATATTTAGAGGATTATTCTGTGGGATCCCTGGCTAAGTGTGGGATAGCTAAGACTGGCTCCTCTAGATGAGTCTGTGAGATTTCCCCCAGTTCAGGGATGTACTATAAAACTTAGATGGCAAAATATATCCTTCTCAAGTCAATTAAATAGCATTTTCAATGTGTAAACATTCACTGCAGCTAGTGAAAGTGAATGAGTTCAGTGGATGGATCACTTAGTTACAGCACTTTAAATAAGAGAGGCAATGAATCACATGAAAAAGTAGGCAACCTGGAAAAGTTATATCTATAATTATACCTAAGTCTATACACACATATGATTTTAGTGATACAATAAATAAAAGCTCATCACAGATGATTTAGAAAATTAAAATTTCTCACAGTACACTTAAAAATTAATAGTTTTTTTCACTGTTTTATGTGTATCTAAATACTTCTTTCAAACAAAAACAATTATTGTTTGGTATTGTTTGTTTTTTCATATATATAGCATATTATCCTATGTCAATAAAATATTTTCTAAAAGCAAGATTACAGTTGTTGGATGCTATTTAATAATATGGTTGTACCACAGATTATTAAGCTATTTCTCTGTTATTGGACATTTCAATGTCTCCTGTTTTCACTCTTTTAAGCAACAATGCCTTTTATCTTTGTGTGCACATGCTCAGGTTGCAGGCTAGATCCCCAGCAGGGGGCATGCAGGAGGCAGCCGATCAATGATGTTTCTCTGGTCAATGCTTCTGTTTCTCTATCCTTCTCTCTTCCCTTGAAATATAGCTAAGACCAATAAAAGGTATACATGTCGGTAACAAACTACCATGTCAGGATATGAAATATTTAAGCATTGTTTCTTGTTGACTGCAAATTGTCAACAATTATTTTTTAGGAGGTCGCATTTCTCTTCCATTGCTTCCTTTTCCAAAATTTTCTTCCCTTTCTCAACTTTTGGAGGACTTATTTTAGAACATTAAACTTTTGGTTTTGCCGAAATTTAAAAATCCCTGAGGAAACAAGCTCAGGACAAACACACAACATTAAAGAGTGACTCACACTGAGTATGATGTTATGAGAACCTCTTTGTCTCAGCAATATTTGAGACATACACTCTCTTTCATTATTATTTGAAACACTCTTTTTATGCATTTTTTTAAAATTTTGGTTTTAGCTTAATGTAACTATAAACTTTTCCCATGTACCATGTGCCAGGAAATATTATATTGAGATATACACACATTTTATAAAATCTGGGTATCAACACTAACAGGTATTACATTCTATGGGGAAACGTTCAATCAGAGAGATAGTCTGCACGAATATACCTGTGCTTTTCTTTAATCACTCACTTCTGTTTGCTTTTTTCAGAATTGACTTAACTTCTTTTATGCTGACAAGCCATCATCCTTTGCCTTTACAAGGGAGAAGCTCACAGTGATGGGAATGGCTTTTAAAAAAGCCATTTTTCAGTTTTTCTAAAATTTTACTTGAAAAACATTAAACCTACAAAAAAGTTTATGCCTTACCAATTGTTATTCTTTTGCCATATTGCTTTATCTCTTTATAGACACACTAGAGCCTTGTGCATGAATTTGTGTACCAGTGGGGGTCCCTCAGCCTAGCCTGCAGGATCGGGCGGAAACTGGCTCTCTGACATCCTTTGAGGGGTCCTGGATTGTGAGAGGGCACAGGCCAGGCCAAGGGACCCCACTGGTACACTATTGGGGCCAGGGAGGGACGCAGGAGGTTGGCCAGCTGGGGAGGGACGACCACAGGAGGGCACCAGGGCATGTTCAGCTGATTTCACTCAGTCCCAATGGGCTGAACCCCAGCAGCAAGCTAAGCTACCAGTTAGAACATCTGCCCCCGGGTGGTCATTGCACATCATAGCAAGTGGTTGAGCAACCTTAGCATATTATTAGCATATTATGCTTTGATTGGTTGAATGGACAACCAGATACTTAGCATATTAGGCTTTTATTATATAGGATAAACACATGCACTTTCATAAAACATCAAATTCACAAATTCATTTAAACATATGAAATTCACATAACATAAAATTAACCATTTTAGTCAAAACTGGTTTGGCTCAGTGGATAGAGTGTCGGCCTGCGAACTGAAAGGTCCCGGGTTCGATTCTGGTCAGGGGCATGTACTTTGGTTGCGGGCACATCCCCAGTGGGGGGTGTGCAGGAGGCAGTTGATCGATGTTTCTCTTGCATCGATGTTTCTAACTCTCTATCCCTCTCTCTTCCTCTCTGTAAAAAATCAATAAAATATATTTTTTTTAAAATTAACCATTTTAAAGTGTACAATTCAGTGGCATTCAGTACTTTCACAAGGTTGTGCAATTGTCACCCCTCTCCAGTTCCAAAACATTTTATTGACTACAAAGGAGACTCCATTCTCAATAAATAGTCACTCACTGTTA